TTCCTCTTCCATTATCTTCTTTTGTTCTCTCATTAAAAAATTGAACAAAGAGTTTAGGATTAAAAAAAATCGTGTGTTAAATTAAACGATAACCATCTTATATAAAATTATAATAAATTATATTATATCAGATCTTAAACTTTGTTAGATATAATCCATTCATGATGAATAAATTTCATTAATGAGAAAATCTACTTATCTCTCGTTATCGAGAGGTAATTCATAGTTCATTGAGAATGTTAACTTTTCCTAATGATTAATTTCGAGAATATATGTCGCTTTAAAAAAAGATTGCTATAATTATAGATTTGCATCTAACTAAAATAAAAAATATTAAATAGGAAAAAAATAAAAGATAAAGGAAACGGAGAGTTTGCTATATAAGAAGCCATGTTCCGTTCCCAGGAGCTTTCCGGTGTCAGACGTTTCCTGTGTTCCTTTCTGCTCTTCTATATACCTATCGATCCTCGGTCTGCACCCTCCTCTTTGTGCCACCAACTCTCTCTTATTCTGTCCTTTTCTGTCCCTCTTATCCTCTCCCTTCATCGCACCATCCTGTTCTCTCTCTCTCTCTCTCTCTTTTTCACTTTAACGTTCAGTCTCTCCTACTTTTCTCTCTCGCACTCATCTCCAACCCTCAACCTATCTTTCTTCTTTCCTCCCTACCTTTACCTTCCTCTTTACCTACCTTTCCCTTTCCGTCCCTCGTCGATCTATATTGCATTCGTCGTCGTACTCCCCACCCCACCCTCATCTTCACCCTTACCCCACGTACCACCAGAATGTCCTCGGAACTTACGCCACGGATGGCGTGTAGGGTAATTTTCCTTCCATATTTATACGCACGTCTCTTCTCATCGAGAAAAGTAGCTGCTTTAAATGTTCTCTCCTTTTATTCCTCCAAGGGTTAAACGCGTTTAATACATTCACAGATTATCCAAAGAATGAACTCAACAACGTCTATTGATCTTTCTCTCAATGAATCATCATCCATCGTCCTTCATCTGCGTTGATTGTTCTCCTCATTTTTTTCTTCATCACTCGTTTTCTTTTCTTTTCTTTTTTCTTTTTGTCGTCCTAAGTTCTACTCATCATTTTTTGGAAGATTCAGAAATGTTTTTGTAATTGTACATTCGAATTGTCGAGAATTTTAGTATTAATTCAGTAGATTACCTACCATCATAAATATCAAATTACCAACGTTGCCATAATTTATACGATGAGTGATTAACTTCTATCCCTAACAGGACTAGTCCGTCTAACTGAAACGTCTAATCCCTAATACATCCATCAGTTAATATTATATCATGCTCATCCAACTCCTCGTGATACCTATTTAATACTTTCCTACACACTAGTTGTTATTATTAGCGTATAATCTCGTTAATATTTATAACGAGAATAAAATTATTTTAGTTTCCTTTCGTATCGTGGGTGGATAGTACAAGGCCGCCTATTTATAAAATCATTTGAAAGGAAATTCTTTGTAAATATGCATTTATACTATGCAGAATATTCTTTTTTTTTTCTTTTATTATTTTATTTTATGCATTGTATATACATAATTCAAGTTCGTGTATTTAATATTGTAAGATTTTTTAATGATAATAATTTATATATTTTTCATCGTCCAACACCAATAAAATAAACTCCTCCTTCAATGCTAATTTTATTCCGTCCAATTGTCTATTTGTTCTGTTCTCTTCGAACTAATCGTAAGGCTTCAGATAATCTGATCTAAATGAAGAACTCGGAGGTACTGGACAAAAAGAACAGATGAAAAAAGAAAAAGAAAAAATTAGTCTTAATTGTTCTTCCACTTACCTTCGGTACCATCCTTTGAAAGTTTTCTTTTTTACTTTTTCTTTCTTTTAATACTCCCTTGATGAGAATGACTAATTTTTCAAGAAGAAATTTTTCCAATCAAATCTATTTTATCGACCGCGAAAACAAATTGTTATCGATTTCGAGAGAAAGTTGTTTTTTCTTTTACAATAATTAATTAATTGAAATGACAAACTCGTGACGATTTAATAGAAAAATCTTATGCAATTTTCATTTTTCTATCTCGCGAAAGGAAAAACAAAATTGGACTTTCTAATTTGATTATTCCTAAGCTATTTTTTCTTTATCTAATCTCAATGATTTGTCTCCACGTTCAGATCGACAACTTTTTATCCATTTTATACGATTTCACATCAACGAAGAAACATTAGATTATACTCGTTTCATAATTTTACGCAATGCATATGAGGGATGCACTAGGCTATGCATTAAAACACAGGATATCTCAAAAGTTGCTTTACCAAGGAAATAAAAACAATAGACCCCAAACTTGAATATTTTTATTTAATAAAATTGCAATATTTTTCTTATTCATTAGAAGATATAAATTTTGTTAATACATTGCATATTACATGTTTACAGTTACGGTATCGATTAAACAAAAATATGGGTCCATGAATCCTATTATTCTGAATAACTGGTAATAAAAATATAATAATGTTTTTATTTTACTAAAGCGATTTTTGAAAAACCCTGTAAGATTCTTTATGAAACGGGTTGTATATACTTGTGTATTTGGATACATGCAAACGTGATCAAAATAATGTATTGCAGGAACGAGTTGTTGACAAAAATCTCACGACTCGTGTTGCAGCACCAACTTCTCTAGAACGAAATAAATACGTGAGATTTGACATAAATGGTATTACCTATGGAAATGACTTTCATTGAAATTTCATTCATTGAAATTTATCGATCGTATTGATCGTATTGATGTTTATTTCCGTCCAATTAGTTTTATCTATTCTCGTATTTTGCGATACATTTATGCATTATATACTCTATATATATAAAATGAAAAAATTATTTAAACAATACGAAAAAAGTTAAATAAATGTACATACATACACATATATTAATAAATCAATATTGACACGTATCAAAAGATTCTAATTTCTATTCGTAATTAAAATGCACAAATCTAATCAATTTTATTTAACGATTTTAAATATAACATTCTGTTACAATAAAAAAAACATTAACATATTAATCAAATATTGGATAATATTTTTAATTTGTAATTAACGTAAATAACTAAAAACCATAATACAAGATTAATTAGATTTTCTGTCTCCCAAAATTTCATCTATCAGTAAACCATCGATACGTATAACGTATATCTATTAACGTATCTATTAAATAGACGATGTTATATTCGTTTTATAATTGACATTAATTTGATGAACGGCCAATAACAATAGTACAAAACTAATTGACTTTACTATCTCGAAAATTTCATCATCTTGTACATACACGCACACGCACACATAAATATACATACAATTAAATATTTTAATTCTGTTTGTATAATTGATATCAATCAGATAAAAAGAAAAATATGTTGAACGATTGTATCATCGATTGAAAAAGAAAATGTAATCGAAATAGTATTAACGCATTACTTCTCACCGGGATCTTCCCTTTCCCACCCACCCCCCTCTCACCAGTGTGTTCTCCGTGGACACCACAGACACGAACCAAAAAAGGTTAGGCTTGTACCGACGCTGTGGTTCGAAACCACCCCCGACAGAGAGAGGCCTCCAACACCGGCCGAGAAGAGTCTTTCCGCCACGTTTTCCAAAGCCGGGGGTCGTCTGACTCCCTTCCGAAGGCTGCTGCGCTCGCGTGGCGCGCGCCAGAGGGTGGTGAATACTTGTGTAAGATAGAAAGAGAGGGGAAACATGGAATAAGGGTGCCCGAGAAAGATAGAAAGAAGGAAAAAGAGAGAGAGAGAGAGAGAGAGAGGAAGAGAAGTAGCTAGAGTGAGTGAGAGAGAGATAGATAGATAGAAGGAGAGAAAGAGAGAGAGGGTGAGAGAGAGAGGGTGAATTTCGTGGGGGGGGAGGGGGCGTGGGGGTGCGCGCGCATACAGCCCTTCTATAGCAAACACGTAATCGAACTGGGAGCGCCGTGCTTCGTCGTCGGCTCCTATCATCCGCGTACACGACAGGGCTGGATCCCTGACGAGAAACGAGTGAACAAAAAAGTGACAAAAAAAGGAAGAAGATATTACAGGAAGAAGGAAAAGAGAGAGAGAAAGAAGAAGAAGAAGAAGAAGATGAAGAGGAAGTAATAGAAGAAATATATATTAATAATAAGAAGTAGAAGAAGAAGAAGAAGCGGTAGAATTACTACACGTGAAGAAGACTAAGTAAAGATAAACAGATTAAGAAGAATAAGAAAAATTGGATATATTATTATTGTGAAAAAAAAAAGATTATATATATATATATGTGTGTGTGTGTGTGTAGTCCGAAAACTTTGGAAAATATCACTTAGATTCTTTTGAGCTCTGTTGAAGATTGGATTAACATGTCAGGGAGGAATAGACTAGGGCCTATGTTCTACTACAAAGAGGAAAAGGACCGTCCTTCTATTGCTACTGTTACTATTGCTGCAACTACTACTACTACTACTAATACTACTAATACTATTATTACTGGTTACTACTAGAGAATTTAGTGATATATCGTGATCGGTGGTGGCAGTGGCTAGTGCCGTCGTCGTAGAGTGGTGCCGTCTTGTGCTGCAGGTGCTCTTCTCGTGTTTGCTTGCTGCTGGTTGTGCTTGTGCTGCTTGCTGCTTGCTGCTGCTGGCTGCTGTTACTGCTACTACTACTACTACTACTACTACTGGTGGTGGTGGTGGTGGTGGTGTATGAGTGCGCACAGGGTGCTGGTGGGTGGAAAAAGAGGGTGAGGGTGAGGGTGAGGGTGAGGGTAAAGGGTGAAGAGTGAAGAGAAGGTGGAGGAGGAACGGTCGAAGTAAACGAAGGTTATATCATATTCGCGAGTGTGTACCGTGCGCGTTTTCTCATCTTTATTTGTTCCTTTCATTTTTGAATAATTTTCTTTCTCCCCCTACCCCCTCTTTCTCGCTCTCTCTCTCTCTCTCTCTCTCTCTCTCTCTCTATACATATATATATCTTACCATCTATTTTATTTTCTTCCTTATCCGTCCAATTTGGTGAAGAAGAAGAAGAAAGAAAAAAAGTAAAATGAAGGATTTATTATGACAAATGAACGTTCCCGTTGTCTAAAAAGTTTAACGCGACGCGCGATAATATTCGATTTATTTTTCGAATAATCGTTATAATATTAATCATTCGATTCGATCGTATAAAATATTATTCCAAGACGATTCGTGTTATTAGAAATCCACCGGTTATTATACTCCCTGGTGTTCGCAATGGCGTCTAACGTTACTTCGTCCAGGGAAGATTATTTCATCGGAGACGTCGTTGGGTTAATTAATATACGTCGAGTAATCAAAAAATCGTCGTCATCGTCGTCATCGTCGTCGTCGTCGTCGTCATCATCGTTATCGTCGTCGTCGTCGTCGTCGTCATCGTTGTTACTGTTGTCGTCGTCGTTGTTGTCATCGTCACCGTCGTTCACGTGAGAAGAAGACGAGATGTTGTTACCTGATAGGTGCAGTTACGAGGAGACGCGACGACGTAAACGACGACGAGGAAGAGAAGAAGTAGATCATCGTCGTGACTCGATCTGATCAACAGTGTTCTTTATCTTTTTCTTTATTTGTTTTTATTATTATTATTATTATCATCATCATCATCATCATCATCATTATGATTATTGTTGTTGTTATTATCTAACATAATATATAACATCTCTTCGTATCCTTTATCCTCCTCTTTCATTTTCTACTTCTTCTTCTTCTTCTTGTTCTTCTTCTTCCTCTTCTTTAATTTTCCTTCCTTTAAAATTCCCCCAATTGTCATATATCTATCACGATGATAAGAATTTCTAATAAATTATCGACGTGTAAAAATCAAAGGGGGAAAAAAAAAGTGATATATACCGATGTGTTCTCAAGTTAAAAGAAAACGCGTCCTCTTAGTTCGTTGTGCGTGCGTTAAAAAAAAGATTTGTCGAAATAAGAGAGATTTTTGATGTTTCATACGTCGCGGTAGGACGCGATGATTCGATTTGTGCAATCGAGGAAAGTCAGGAGGAAGAAGTGATATAGTGCGAAAGACGAGAGAGAGAGAGGTTAGAAATAAAAAAAGAAAAAAAAAAGGAAAATAAGAGAAATAGATAAAAGAGAATTGGCTTCGAAAGCCGGTGCAATAAGGATAAAAGAAATCAAGGTTCTATAAAGGGTAGAGAACCCGCGAACGAGCGGGATAAACTATTCAACCTGGCGGACCAAGAAGAAAGTGGCTCGGCTGCGATGCAGGGCAAGGAAAGCCCCGTCGGGTCCAACACCCAGGAGACTCATCAGTATGTCGGCCCTTATCGCCTTGAAAAGACCTTGGGTAAAGGGCAGACCGGTAAGTCTTGCTGTTTTTCCGTTTTTTCTTTCTTTCCTCTTTCCTTTTTATTATCTAACAATGATCTTCAATCTGGGGTGGTACGGGGCTGGGAGCTGGGGGCTCAGGGGGGGGAGGGGATAGTAATATTTCCCTAGCCCTAACTCTTCGACCAAGTTTCTTCTTACTTATTTTTATGAAATCGAAACAGCATACTCGACCCTGCTGGAAAGTGGAACGACCATATGCCATACATACCTACATACATATATACACGTAGTATGTAATGAATAGATGAATGATACTATATCTATTTATATGTGTTATACTTATCTACATTTAATAAATATACTTACCGATGTTTTTTTTATAATCTATTCAATAACATTCGTTAGACGTTCTATGTTGGTTGACGAGTTCATTTTTGAGGGATTGTATCAACCCTTTGGGCGATACGATACGATGTACTTACACACTTTTTCAGCTTGAAGCATGTACACTCACACGTGTCAATTTTAATTAACGAGGAAATATATAATTGTACTTGTTATCTTTCATCGTTCCTTGTATTTCCATCTGATGCACTAACTTCAATAAACGAGTTGTCGTTGATAGAATTTAGTTGAATTTTCTGAATTGACGGAGGTACTAAAGTTTTATGAATAATAAAGTAACTTTTAGAGGTTTTATATTGTACAACTGTACGATTCGATCGTTTCACAAACACACACACATACATGCATGCATACATTCAAGAATTCAAGAAAGTGGACTTCACTCAAAGTCTTTGTTGTTCTTAAGTGCGATTGGATTTATATAATGATTAGAAAGAGGGAGAAAAAAATATGATAAGTATGTATTCGGTTGAAAAAACACTTTGGAAAACTATGGATCGGATTATTTCGATCTTGATTTTCTTCAATCCTAAAATACCTCTCAATCGGCTATTCGTGGCTGAAGTATAAAGCATACGCTGAAAAATAAACGTTAACAATACGTATACATATATACGTATTATACGTAATGTATATACTACACACATATATATAGCAAAGAGACTGTTTTAGCGACACGTTCTGTTTAATCCTGTGTGAAGGATTCGCCCTTTGATTTAATGTTCTTTTTTTCTTTCTCATTTTCTTTTCTTTTTCTTTTTTTCTTTTCTTTTTTTTTCTTTTTAACAAAGGATATCGATAAAACTATGATATATTTGTTCCGTGGAAATATCTCTGCAATCATCCTAAGCTTCGTGCGCTTGTCAACTTCTATGTTTGACAACCCAAGTGGAAAGGTGACTATTTCCTGTCTTTCTTTTTCTTTTACTTTTCCTTTTTTTCGTTTCTTTTTTTATCGTATAGATAAAAAAAAATGGAAAAACACAAGTTTGTTCGATTGATTGGAAGGAAATTTAATTGTGTGCGAATGAATAAATGATGTTTTATTGGCATTTACTGAATTTGTTCAAAATTAGGATAAATGAAGATACTCTGTAGGGTATCATTTACGTTTTTGTTTAAAGGGTTAATTTCTTATTGTAGAAAGTATATATTTATACTATTTAAATATGTACATGCCTATTTATTTATATACATACGCACAAAAACAGCCAGAGGAGTGTATAGCTAATTCACATAATGTATTAATCGTGGCATTCTCTTATTCTTTTTTTTCTCTTTTTTTTCTTTTTTTGTTCTGTGAAACAATAGCTAGACCGTATCAAAGAGAAACAGGAAACGGGAATAGTCAACGACGCCTCTTGGTAGTTTCCAACGCAACGTCACGAGACAAGAAGATACTAAACAGAAAGATCGGTTTCTTTATCGTTGAGTTAAATAAAAGAAAGGATTGTCAGTGAATAATTATTTTAATAAGGATCTTTCAATTAAATTTATAATCAGAGAAATTGTAATATCCAAATTCGACGTTATTAATCCTCTTCGAAAATTTTTATATAATCACGTATTATATTTTATTTTATTTTATTTCTTTTTCTTTTATTTATCGTAACATTTGTTCAGATTTTATTTCGAAATTTTTCTATCGATGGAATCGATGGATTTTCTATCATTTTCTAATTTTTTTGATAATAATATCACAATTATTTGTAAATGAAAATCTAACAGAAAACGTTAAATCTTGTTGACCCATTTAATGATAGGTATAATCTTTTTCTTTATAACAAATAAACGTGAAATAATAAATTTGTTGTCGCGTTCGCGCGAAACATCGTGGAAATAAAAGTTAATCGAGAAGTCGTATCTCTTTCGAAGATATTCGCTTTTACGATTTTTCGATCTCTTGATCTCCTTTTCTATCTTTTTCTTGCAGTTTGAACTTACTTTTACGTCGCTTGCGTATCTAGTACATTGTGGGGGGTTCAATAAAACATGATCTTTTATTTCGTTTTGTATTGTATTTCTATGTATACAGTGAATCACAAAAGTATTCGTACTCCCATCGTCAATCTTAAATAATTGATTTTTCGTTTGCAATGCAATATTTTAAAATTCATTTACACGCGGTAACATATTTTAGAATTATTAAATTTTTACATTGATATTAATTTTATTGCAAAAGAAAACATTTTGTTAAAAAGAAAAGTAGAAATTTTATAAGTATTTCGGAAACAAGGTCATATCGAAAACAACCACCACTTAAATTTACTTTATCTCAATTGTAGAATTTAAAAGTTGCTTATGTGAATATACTCAACAAGTGTGAAAAAAGAAAAAAAACAGAAAGAAAAATATTAGCCATTAGATAGTGTTATCGAACAACAAATATATTCTCCTACATTTTTAAGGCCAAAGTAAAAGAAAAATCAAAGTTTTATAAACAGAGCCAAGGTATCGCGAAAAGTTTGAGGCAACCCAAACCAACGTGATATATATATGTATATACATATACCTAATTAAAGTATACTTGAAGTACAACACCCTTACATATACCAGATTAGTGTAGCATAATGAATGGTAGAAGAAATAACAGTACATCATCGTTAACTCATAAAGTCTCTCGTGAAATACAATTTTAGTTCATATAGAAAATGTAATTAAAATATTACCAGAAAAAAAAAATAAATAATAAAAGAAAAAATAAGAACGTAAGAACAGGTAAAACATTTTATCCATTTATCATCAAATTATCGGTAGTTATAACGTTGTAATTAAAACAGATTATCACTTATTGGACTTGATATTGGATCATTATAATCCTTTAGAGGTTTCAAATTGGATTATCATTAAAATTGTAAATATCAGCAAACGTGAGATTAATATGATTGAAATTCTAGATACAAGATAAATATATAAGATAATATAAACTAGATACATACATATATTCATTAGATTATGGAACATTGAAATATGTTACAAGAAATGGCGTTAATGATAGCCAAAAAGGTGGTAGCAAGAGTAACATGTGGTGGCAATGTGGTGATAAATACTGGCTAAATTTAGATAATAGAGCGTGTAAACTCTGTCACAGACAATTAGAGACTTTGGAAGGCCTAATAAGTAGGTGCGATCAAATGTAATCAATGATATTATTAGAACATTTATTAGACCAAAAAGGGAACATGAAATCAATGAAATGGTTAAGAATTATATTCGATAATAATGAAAGAAAGCAGAAACGTGTAATAAAATTTATCATAACAATGAAGTAAAAACGAATGAAAAGAAAATAAAGTAACAATTTTCATTTAATTTTACCATAATTAATCTTTTAATTTTTCCTTAGAGTAATAATAATGTTTCCTCTAACTAATTAGAAATTAAATATAAAATAAAAAGTAATTATATTGATGACCCAAATCAACTTATTCAAATGTTTAGACTATGGTGTTCGCAATGAACTATTACTATTTGATAAAATAAGATTTATTTGAGGTATGTGACAATAAGATATGTTGATAGGACGAATGAAATTCTATTCGACGTTCTAAATTCCTTAGTCAAGGAATGAGTAATGAAATAGCTGGACGTCGTGCCATGAACATGGTTTGAATTATAAGCTTGTGTATATATATATATATATATATATATACATATACATATACATGTGTATACATTTTCGTGTATCTGTATATGTATTGGTGCGTGTACAATGGTCGAACTGTAAGTAATCGATGAAGACATTAACGAAAGAAGGATATACTATAGTTGCAATAGCATTCTCTTGAGAGAGGTACTAAACGGTGCAGCAAAGAGAGTACGCGGATTGGACGAATGGGCGTGACGCGAAAAATCAATAGGATCGAAGGTGGTAGACTAAAGAGATGAATCGGTGCAACGTTGTTCTCTCGGTAAGGTGTGATTAACACCATTCTCATAAGATTCTTATAATATGTGAACACGTAGACGATTAACTGGCATTTATATTCAATTCTTCTTAGAATCACGAGTACGGAAATTATCCCTATGACAGCTTGATACGTTTCACTTTTTTTTTTCCACAATTTTTTCTGACTTAATTTGTTGATAAACAAATATATTCTAACGTATAGTTTAGATCTTCTTATTTTATGTATATAAGGTAATTAAATAATGTTTATAATTGATGGAATTCAAATGTATCAATTTAAACCAGTAGAGAGTATATATTATTATTCGTTATTTTCGTTTGAATTAGTAAATTATAAATTATTTTTTTTCAAGAATTAATTTAATAAAATTTGATTTTATTATTTTTTTTTTCGATTACACGTTTCTTGATTTGTGTTTAAAATTTATATACAACGATATATATTGAATTATGTATTCGTATAATGGGAATACATATTTGTACATATTATTACATACTTTTACGTAGATTTCGTGTTTCATATTTTTTCATATTTTTACAATTTAAATATTTAAATCCTCCGGTGTTTAATTGGAATATCTATTGTAGATAGGAAAAAACTAATGAAAGAAAAGTAGATAGAAAAATATGAAAGTTTTCTTTTTTTTTTTTGGGGAAAGATTTGATTTCAAAGCAGTTAGAAAAGAAAAAGGGATAGAAATAAAAAAGTTGAATGG